GAAAAAAAAAAAACAAGAAATCAAAACACCCCTGGAGAAATTCGCCTTAGTACAAAGGAAGACAGTTAAAGAAAAAGAAATTATTGTTGTCTTTACATGACCTCAAAAGCCAAAACAGCAGAGACAAAAATAGACAAATGGGCCGCATCAAACTAAGCTGTTTCTGCACAACAAGAGAAACAGCTAGAAATAACCAACAGAATAAAGAAACAACCTACACATAAGTGAAAATATCTGCAGACTAAAAATCTGCTAAAAGTCTAATTTCTCTAATTTATAAGGAATGTAAACAACTCAATAGCCTGGAAACACATGACACTATCAAACATAGGCAAACGCTATTTTGTTATATTTCTCAAAAGATACAATTTCTCAAAAGAAGATATACAAATAGTCAGTAATATCTAGAATATCACCAATCACCAGAGAAGTGTAAATTAAAACCACATTAAAATATCCCCTCCCATTTGTTAGGCTATTACTATCAGAAAGTCAGTCAATAACTAATATAAACCAGGGTGTGGTACAGGCAACCTTATCCAACGTCAGTGAGACAGCAAACTGGTACAACTTGCATCCCACACACATTTGTCAAGATATTAAAATAAGATACCATATGCCCAATAATCTCACTGCTGTGTTTTTATCCAAAGGAAATTTGATTAGTATCTTGGGGAGATATCTGCATTCCTGTATTTGCTATAGTGCTATTTACAAAAACCAGGGTATGCATTCATTAGCGAAGGAAGGAATGCATGCAATATATACAATTTTATCATGGTGTGCACATGCACATATATTTGTATCCTACATAGACACCATATATATGCACAGATATATTTTATATATGCCATCTATATATAGCATACACATGTGTACCATACGTATCAATGGAGTTCACTGTTCAGATATACAAAGAACAAAATCCTGGCATTTAGGGCTACATAGAAGAATTTACAAGTCATCATTTTAAGTGAAATAAGCCAAGCACAGAAAGATAAGTATTACCTAATCTCACTCATATGCGGAATCTATAAAAATTGATCTCAAGGAATGGTGGTTACCAACTGCTTCCATGAACATGAGAGAGGATAGGGAAAGCTAGTTGCATATAATTACAGCTGGGTAAAGGAGCATTTTTTAAATATCTAGAAGACAGAAAGGGGGAAAGTGACTGAACATGGTCAGGACTTGAAGAGTGTAGGTGGCCTGGGAAGCAAAGGTGGAAGCTACTAATGAGCATGGCACTTCTTATGGAGTGTTGAAAATATCCTATCATTGAGGAGGGACACACAACTCCTAAGGAAATTGAAATTCATTGGCTTAGCCATTTGGGAAAAGTGAATTGTATGATATGTAAATTCAATAAAGTCATTTTTAAATCAATGAAATGTTTCTTAATGATGTTCTGCTATACTCACAGAATGGTGTATCATCCAGTCATCATCAGAAAGGCTGCCCCAAGCAGAGATCCACAGTCAAACATTAGTCAGAGAGAGCCCAAGTTTGCTGTGGGACAATGATCTTGTATCCTGTCACTTGTATTATTTTAATTTAGTGCTGATTGGCCAGTAGCCAAGCAGGAAGTATAGGCAGGATGGCCAGGCAGGAAGTAGAGGCAGGGTAAGGAGAATTCTGGAAAGAGGAAAGACTCAGTCTGCAGTCGTCACCAAGACACAGAGGAAGCAAGATATGAATGCCTGGCTGATAAAGGTACCAAGTCACACGTCTAACATAGACAAGAATAATGGGCTAATTTAAGATGTAAGAGTTAATAAGAAGCCCTCGCTAACACCCCAGAAAATTTATGATTAATGTAGACCTCTATGTATTTCTTTGGGACTGAACAGCTGTGGGACCAGGCAAGATAGAAACCTCAGTCAACATAGGTTGGAGGTTTCCACTGGGTTCCTCCCCTCGGAGCTCCTGGAACCCTGCAAAGATGAGAAGGTGAAACCGTGGGAGCCAGATGTGCCAAGGACATTGGGAGAAATGGCCTGTAGAATCAACTAAGCAAGGCTCACAGGAGCTACAGAGATTGAAGTGGCAATCATGAATCCTGAATGGGTCTGAGCTAGGTCTTCTGCATTTATGTTATGTTGTAGGCTTGGTGTTTTCGGGGGACTCTTGGCAGTGAGAATGTGGTAGGGGTGTCTGATTCTTTTGTCTGTTCTTGGGACCCTTTTCCTCTTATTTGGTTGCCTCACCCAGCCTTGATATAAGGGCTTGTGCCTGAACTTTTTTTTATCTTGCTGTTCTGTGTTCAGTTGATGTCCCTGGGAGGCCTGTTTTCTTCCAGGGGATGATGGGGTGGAGAGGTTGACCTGGGGTAGAGGGGAAATGGGGAAGAAAACAAATGAAAAGAAAAAAGAAAAATGTCTTAACAACAACAAAGATGATCTAAACAAGTCTACATCAGTCTATATCAGAAAGCAATATGATGTTGACTGTTCACTATACCAACTATGGATCAAACAAAATTAACAAATCAAACTTAGTGCAAGCCAGAGTTGTTTTACAAATGATCTCACTTTGCCCACTCCTCTCTAGCAGCCCTATCTCTACATCTTCATGTGCCTACTGACTAATTACACAGAATGCTTCCAAATGCATGTGTTTACAGGTCAAAGGAATGGCTGGAGGGATGGCTCCATGCATAAGAGCACTGACTGCTCTTCTCAAGGGTTTCCGTGGACACCATCTATGTGAGATGCACAGACATACGAGCAGACAAGATATCCATACACAAAGTAATAAAGTAAGAATTTAAAAATAAAAAGAATTTAATAAAGGCCTGACTCAGAAGGTAAAGACTACTGCTGCCAATCCTAACACGGTGAATTTGATCTCTGAGTCTCACAAAGTGGAAGTAGGGAACCAACTCTAGCAAGTTGTCCTCTGAAATATATGCTCATATATTCATGCACACACATACACAGACACCTAATAATGATAATATAAATAAATAAAATGTAATAAATTTTAAAACAAAAAAATCAAATAAAAGTATCTATATATTTGTATGTTCTAGACGACTTCAAATATTGTCTGGCCAAGTTCAACGTCGTTTCTTTCTTTTTTTAATCAAATCAATCCTGTTTTGCCATGCATTTCTATTATAAATCAAGAATGTCATTACATAGAAAGCAAAACTGAAAGCTTAAAAATTTCAGAAAAAAATAAAATGGTGAGGGAGAACAGTACTATAGCCTTTCTAGTGTAATGGTTCCAGTGACCTAAGTTCCTCAGAAACTCAAGATATCATGGGCTTTTCCTGTTGGAAGGCCTCCCTAGGTATTTGCTAATCATGTCTGAGCATTCATAACTTCCCAACTCACAAGTAACACCTACAGAAAGCTTCACAAAAGACAAGCAACAAAATGTTGTAACAATGAACCCTCAACCCTGCCATAAACAAAACTCTCTCACATGTAAAATCACACAATAGCACAGGAAGAATTCATCTACAAGGAGTTCCAAACTTTCAACCACCCTAGTAGTTGAGGCATTACTAATACACCCTCTTGATAGGAGTGACTCTTGAGTGTTTTCTATGGATGAGGTCAGCCTGGGATTGGATCCAAGAGAAAGAAAGCTAAAATGACAGTGTACCACCAATTTCACCATTAGGATTTAAGGTTAGTGGCTTCTCCTCAGAGTGTCTTAACTTGCCCATAAGCAAACAGGGTAAGCTTTTTATGCCTTTACTACCAAGCATGAATGGAACATGAAAAGATGAACTAAAAACTGAAAGTGACTCCATAGAATAAGTCTTAGATATCTATCACTGTGGTTATTATGCCAATAAAACAAGCTGTCACCCCAGCGGGAACATTTTAGATACCCCTGCAGCATAACCAGGAGAGAAGACAGAAGCTCCCTTAGGTTTGAACTGCCATTTAGTCAGCATTTGTACCTGTGGAGTACATTTTAATCACCACAGTAAGCTAATGTGTGAAACACATAGAAGCCTGTAACTGAACAAGTACTTAAGGCAAAAGGGGGAGTCGGACAAGAACATACATGATAATTGGGGGAAATGCATACAATAAATATCCTCTCCCTAACAGAATAAAAACTAATGAGATAAAAGAAAATGTATAAATAAAAATTAATCATGTGGTATAGTGGCATTTCAACTGTATTTTAATAAATAAAGCTTGACTGGGGATCAGGAGAGTAAAACAGCCACACTGGTCATCCTTACAGCCCGACAGTGGTAACACACACCTTTAATCCCAAATTGCTATAAAACCGTGCAGTGCATGACTTTAGTCCCAGTGGTAAACATCTTTAATCCCAGCCCTAGAGAAAATTATAAAACAGGAGAAGAAAGTTCTCAGACACAGTCTCATTCAGAGATTCCTGGAGGCAGGATCGCCATTTTCAGACTGATTCAAGGTAAGAGCCAGAGGCTAGCTGCTTTGATTTTCAGATCTTCAGGTTGAACCCAAATTTCTCTCTATGGATTTTTATTAATAGTCCTTCATTTGGCACCCAACATGGGGCTCGAACCTATGACCCTGAGATTAAGATTCTCATGCTCTATTGACTGAGCTAGTTTCAGTTTTCCTTAATTATAATAAAGATAAATTATATATGAAACTTTAGACTCACAAAGAAATATTGTAACTATAATTCTTGCTTGATATCTGTTTTGTTATATGTAATTTTACTATGTTGACAAAAATAGACAGAAAAGGGGAGATTGATATGCAGTGAATATGTTTTATTACCATTGGTTAATAAAGAAGCTGTGTTGGCCTATGGCAGGGCAGAATCTAGAAAAGTCAGAAATTTGACTGAGCCATCAGACAAATTATTTAGTTTATTTGTAATTATTATAATTTCTGTGTGATTATTCGTATCTGGGCTGCCCAGACACTAAAGCATAGTCTCTGTCTACAAATGGCACCAATGTGGGGGCAACTACATCCACATAAAACCTGAAAGAGATTGAGAAGGAATTCTAGATATAAAAGAATAGAGTTAAGATTTCGTGGACGCCAGGGCATTGAGAGCATCTGCGGAAGCAGATCGCGAGGGTGCGGGTGGGCCTCGTTGGAGTGTTGGGATTTGAGCTGCGGTTCTCGAACCCAGGATCTCGAAATGCATCGTGATTCCTGTCCATTAGATTGTAAGGTGTATGTAGGTAATCTTGGGAACAAGACTGAATTAGAACGGACATTTGGCTATTATGGACCGCTCCGACGTGTGTGGGTTGCTAGAAACCCTCCTGGCTTTGCTTTTGTTGAATTTGAGGATCCCCGAGATGCTGCTGACGCTGACCGAGAGCTAGATGGAAGAAAACTATGTGGCTGCCGAGTAAGAGTGGAGCTGTCGAACGGTGAGAAAAGAAGTCGGAATTGTGGCCCCCCTCCCTCTTGGGGTCGTCGCCCTCGAGATGATTACCGTAGGAGGAGTCCTCCACCTCGGCGAAGATCTCCAAGAAGGAGAAGCTTCTCTCGAAGCCGGAGCAGGTCACTTTCTAGAGATAGGAGGAGAGGTCTCTGTCTCGTGAGAGAAACCACAAGCCGTCTCGATCTTTCTCTAAGTCTCGTAGCCGATCTAGGTCAAATGAAAGGAAGTAGAAGACCAGTTTGCAAAAGAAGTGGTGTACAGGAAGTAACTTCATTTGACAGGAGTATGTACAGGAAATTCAAGTTTTGTTTGAGACTTCATAAGCTTGGTGCATTGTTAAGATGTTTTAGCTGTTCATGTTCCCTTAAGCAAGATTGAATTTGCTTTGAACTTTAGTTTTTCATAGACTGAAATAAACCTAGATCCTGCCCAGTTAAAGTGTGATGTACTAATGATAAACCACTGATGGAAATTGAAAAGGCTAGTTCCTTAGCTGGATTACAGTCGGGAGCTGTGGGTGTAATGATAAGCAGTCTGTAAAAGCTGCTGTTAACACAAGTTAACAGGGAAAGGGTGGGAACTGCACTCTGAAGACTTTCAAAGAGGTTCCTCACTGATTGCTATCTATGGAGGAAGCGTCTGTAACATTCTTTATTTGGAAATGGAAGACTGAGTTACCAGTTGGTTCAAGGGTACATTGTAGAGCTGAACCTTTGAGTCACTGTGCAAGATTTTTTTTCAGGCTGTCATTTGTAATATGTTGGTGAGGGTCCTTGGGATTAAGGTTTTGGTTACAAATTGTTGTTTAACTTGAAAGCCTGTTTTTCCTTACACACTCAAATCTGTGAGCTTGGTATCACGTCCAAGTATAACATTCCTATTGGAAGCCATACTTATATTTTCTTGTAAAGTGCTTTTGGATTAATAAAATACTAGCCTAATTGTGTAGTAGTCAGTTGAGCAAACCCACTGTTACCATTGTTATCCCTGGGAAAGCATTTGGTTACCCAGTTCTTTCTTTGTAAGAAACATAACTGAGAGGCACTAGATTAGTGAAGAATTCCACCCCCCCTTTGGCTGTCACCTAACTAAGATTTAGAAGTTGAAGCCAATTCAAGATCATGTCACTAACATTGTAAAGTAGCACCAGTGTGGTATTGTAACTCTAAGTTGCCCATAAAAAGTAGCTTTTAGGGCTGGAGAGATGGCTCAGCGGTTAAGAGCATTGACTGCTCTTCCAAAGGTCCTGAGTTCAATTCCCAGCAACCACATGGTGGCTCACAACCATCTGTAAGGAGGTCTGGCGCCCTCTTCTGGCCTTCAGGCATACAGACAGAATATTGTATATATAATAAATAAATAAATATTTTTTTAAAAAGTAGCTTTTATCTTCAGCATGAAAACATTCAACAAAGCTTAAAAATTGATTTCATTTGATAACTTGAGGTCCTGCATGGGGTTCCAAACTGATGATGATGTAAAATCTACCATGTGGCTAATGTAACAATGCACAGTTGACTGTGGAGGCATGCATACCCTGTCTGAGAAATCTGGAGGAGTTGTGCTTTCAGATTGTGTGTGTGTGTGTGTGTGCAATTAGATTAAATCATAATGCAACAGTCTTGTGGCTTAACTTTTCTTAAATGTGCTCTTTTGAGATAGTTTTTAGATGCTGTACTGATTTTGTTTTTATGAGGTACCTCCCCCCCCAATTATGTTTGCTTTTAACAATAAATCTCAGTAAGAAAAGAAAAAAAAAGAATAGAGTTAAGCATGACTTCTTGGTAGAAGCATTTTGTCAGGTAGGCTCTGTTTTCTAGAGGCAAACAGAGGCACAGTTCCTTTAAGAGAGACTTCCTGACTCAGCATTAGTGGCAAAAACTTCACAGCTCTTTTAAGACTCTGCCACCAAACACTTAAATGATGTTTATGAGCAGGCAGCATCAAGCTTCTTAGTGGTGACATGGACCTAGAAACTCCACAGAGTTGTGGAACAAACCTGACTCCCACCAGTACCACCAACATGAAGCTAAACTCTCAAGAAGTCAAGGAGTGGGGCGGATCCAGTTGCCAAAAGCATGGTGTTAATCCTAGTCATGTTGCTTAGCAGAGTCATGTAGTCAGAAAAAAGATACAGAGTAAAAACAGATTCAGAGGGAAAAAGAAAAAAAACAGCGTACAGTGTTTATAGGCTTGGGAGAGAAAAGAAAAAGGATATAGAAAGTCCTAGAAAGAAAAAAAAAAAGAAATATAATCGGGTGAGGTGTCACAGGCCTTTAATCCCAGCACTTGGGAGGCAGAGGCAAGTGCATCTCCGTAAGTTTCAGGCCAGCCTGGTCTACAGAGTGAGATTCAGGACAGACAAAGGACACAGAGAAACCCTGTCTCAAAAGAAAAACAAAAATTAAAAATAAAAATAAAAGAAATAGAGTTTTAAAAAGCCATGTAAAGATAGAAAATACAGAGAGAATCTGAATACTTTATATTATTGTGTTTCCTCTGAATTGTTTGACTGCTGAGGAAGGAGTAACAGCTGGTAAAAGACGTTTGATTATAAATGCTGCTGGGCTAATCCAACCTATACATTTTGAAAATGACTTGTGATGTGGGAACTCCTTCAGCCGATAGCCTTGAAGATATCAGCCCACTTGGGCATGGTCTCTTATATTATAAATGCAGGCAGAAAGCTTGCACATGCTCTCTCTCCCTGCTGCTGGATTTGGTTCCTGTCCCGCATTTGTGCAGAGGACTGTGACTGTGAGTCTACCCCTAAATTAAAAAAAAAACAACTTATTATACTCAATTCTGAGCTAGTGTTTGTTGGATAACTTTATAGCGCCCATCTTCATCTGGCACCCACATGAATCCCAACTCCACACCTATCGGGTAGACTGGCCTAAAAGGCCCAAAACGTCCACAGCCCAGGTCTCCCACCCCCGCCTACCTACTAACAATTTTTTTTGACAAAACTCCACCACAGTGGAACTACCACATGGTGATGTGGCAATTTCCCAGACTTACGCATGCCTCCCCCCACTTTCCCTGCCGGTGGGCAATGTACACAGCTTCTGCTTTGTGTTCCCTGCTCTTGAGTTCTGGGCTCCTTGCTCCCTGTACAGAATTGATTTAATTGCTCTTACTTTGTCAAGCAAAGCATATTTGTCAGTATTTAACCTGAAACCAACAACACCTGGAACCAAAGTGGCACAGGACTGTTTGAGCCACCAGTCATATCCCTCTGCCACACAGCTACAACCACAACACTTGCTGGCCAATAAAGATTATCACACATACAATAAGTTACTAAAATCACATAACAAAGGTAACTATTTGATTAATAAATAAATAAATAGACTTGAAAGTTATATAATGGCAGACAGTATTACCAACCAGGAATTTAATAACCTTTCCGCTTATACTATGAATGGTATTCTGCAAAGCTTATATGGTGCTTCTGATACATCCACTTATTAGATATTGGGACTTAGCTTTGGTTTTCATATTATATCCTTAAGAAAATGGTTTGAAAGCAGAGCCAAGAATCCAGTACTTTTAAAAATGATATAGTCTTTAAAGACTAATAATGAACAGCTAGCTGACAGGATTAATACCATCAAAGATCAAAAGTTATCTGAAAAAATTAATACCAATGAAAAGGATAACATTAATTTGACAGAGAAAATTCAATCCATGTCAAAGAGTACTGACTGACACATGGACATATTAAACAAACAGAAAGGGATGGAAAATACCCCAGAAATAGATTGCATTTTTATTAACCTTGTATTTTCTTAATGCTAATGAGAAAGGAACAACAGCAGCAGAGAGACATTGGATAATAGAAAAAAACTTATAAATTAAATCAGCCAGTGTATTTCAAGGATGTGTTGATCTCACAATGGAAACCAGGATATGTGCTATGTTGGGGAAGGGGTTTTGCTCTTGTTTCCACAGGAGAAGAAAAGTTATGAATACCATTAAAATTAATAAAGATTCAGTTTGAAAAGGAGAAACCTCTTGAGAAAGAGAAATGACAGCTCATCCACAGAGGTGACAACCATACAGGTGGTAAGAAAACCTTATAAGGGTTGAGGCAAAGTTCTTTTCTTATCTTTGCAGGAAAATACTCATCTTCAAAAAGTCAAGCAACCTTGGACAACTAGATGCCTAAAGAAAAGATAGCTATCCAGAAAGAGTCACCAAGCAAAATAAAATCAGACTTATGATGTCATATCATCTGCAGGGTAAGATTTGATTATTTGAACCATATCTCTACTTAAAAATCAAAGCTGGCTTTGGAGTCAGACAATGGTTATCTTCTCTATATCCAAGATGGTTGTTAAAAGAAAAATTCAGAGCTTCTGTGTCATGTCAGGAACAAGCTGGTATAAGACAGAAATAAGAAAGAATTTAGAAAAAAAATTAATTTTCTCCAATACCTATTTTTGTCTCTATTGTACCTTTCATTGAATATATGTCTATATAAATAATGTTTAAGTTTTCCACAATAAACAATGAATTTTCCTGCAGTAATCTTTGAAGTTTCCAAAAAGAAGGTGGGGCTCCACAATGACTCCACCTGGTTGATACGATGTCATGATGCTGATAGTGCTACTTTAAGACCAGTTTGGGGTATCAACTGCTCAAGATGGTTCCAACTTGGTCAGCTAAAATGGTGCATCTTCTCACAACATTCTGGCCAGAACTTCAATAGAGACCTCAAAAAAAACCCTATCAACTACTCAGAGACAATTTTCAATTATAAAAGACAGTAACCTTGAAACTTAACAATCATTTAACTTTTATAGGATTCTATAAAAAGAACATTGCCCCCACAACAGCTAGAAGTAATTCTAGAAGACAGCGTCTCTTTTTTTTGTTTGTTTTGTTTTTTAATTTATTTATTTCTTTATTAATTAATTAAAGATTTCTGTCTCTTCCCCACCACTGCCTCCCCTTTCCCTCCCCCTCCCCCAATCAAGTCCCCCTCACTCGTCAGCCCAAAGAGCAATCCAAACTGCCTAGGCTCCCACAAAACCAATAGGTGCAGTAGGATCAAAAACCCATTGCCATTGTTCTTGGGGTCTCAGTAATCCTCATTGTCCAAGACAGCGTCTCTTTCCCAACAAAGTTTGTCTACAAGGTTAGCTACATTAACTCTATACCCAAGTGGTATAGTGTTAGGGGATGGGTGGAAATTATATAGTCTCAGGGATCTCTTTGGAAAAAAAAGAAAATTGGATGGTATGATAGGTAGATTTGTGTGAGCTTACTCACACTAATAATAACTGTGAGTAGTAGAGTGAATACTTGTGAGCTATTTTTTATAGGCAATTTACATTGGAGTAGATTCTTGCATATTGATATAAATTCAAATTATATTGAATATGCTCCTACTTCTGTTGTACACCTAGGCAAAATTATTTTGTCAT